AGCTCGGTAATCTTCCATCAGGCGATTGGGGCTCCTCCTGGCCATATCATTTGTGCCCACATGGACACAAATCCATCCAGATAATCCCCAGAGGATGCTTTGCTAGCCTGTTTGCAGGAACAGATATTAGAAGGTCTTATAACAGCAGCTCTTCAATCATCTAGAACAGTGGTGCTGTACCCTTAGGGCCAATCTGCAGATCGGATCGGGCCTTGGGTGCCAGAATCAGGCCCTGTGCTGCCTTGCCAGGATTGGGTTCCACGCTGCCTCCCCCATTGCCCCACACTTGGATCAGGTGCCATGTGCCCTGATTGGTCTTGTGCTGTTCCCTCCCAACTCAGCACACCAGGATCAGGCCTAGCTACCTCTGCTGAACCCGGCATGTAAGGAGTTCTGCTGAAATCATTTTGGGTACATCTGTAGTTTCATAGTTGGTTGGGTCAGAAGGGACCTGAGCAGATCATCAAGTCCGACCCTCTGCCATGGCAGGAATGTGCTGGGGTCAAACGACCCTGGCAAGGTGTCTGTCTAGCCTCTTTTTGAAGACCCCCAGGGTAGGAGTGAGCACCACCTCCCTTAGAAGTTGGTTCCAGATCCTATCCACCCTGACTGTGAAATACCACCTCTTCATATCTAGCTTGAATCTACTCTCTGTCAATTTATGGCCGTTATTCCTTGTTACTCTCAGTAGTGCTTGGGGGAACAGGGACTCTCCCATTGCCTGCTGGTTTCCCTTGGCCAGTTTATAGGTAGCCACCAGATCCCCCCTCAGCCTTCTTTTGTAGAGGCTGAACAGGTTCAGGTCCCGTAGCCTCTTCTCGTAGGCTACGGGACCTGAAATCCGCCCTCCTGAAGTCCAGGTCTGCTGTCTTGCTGCAGGCCTTTGCCACCTTGCGCTGGATGGTGAAGTCCAATAGGCGATGATCACTATTGCCCAGGTGATTGAGCACCCGCAGCCCCCTCACCAGGTTGTCGCCTACGGCCAGGACCAGGTCTAACAAGGCATTTCCTCTGGTGGGACTGTGCACCTCCTGGCTTAGATGGAAGTCCTGTAACACAGCTAGGAACCTATGTGAGCGGTCAGACCTGGCTGAGTGCTCTTCCCAGCAGATGTCCAGATAGTTTAGGTCACCCATGATGACCACGTACGTCCCTTGACTTAACTGCCTTTGCAAGCTGACCTGAGAATTCCCAGTCCAGCTCTTCTCCCTGGTTGGGTGGTCTGTAGTAGACTGCCACCGTTAAGTCCCTTTCCCCCTGACTCCCTTGTATTCTGACCCAGAGCACTTCAGTCTACCCTTCCTCTGACCCCGTGCTGATCGTTGAAGATGTGAATTGTTCTTTGACATAAAGCACCACACCCCCATCTTTCCTCCCTGTCCTATCCCTCCTTGTAACAGTTGTGTCTCCCTGGGACCATCTATTCGTGGTCCTGCAACACCAATCAAAGGCCAACCACCCGCCTTCTCGCCTGCCATGCCTTGTTGTTATTTGCTTGATTGAAAGATCTTAATCAAATGGTAGGCTGCCTGTTTTCTGTCTCGGTGCGTTAGGCAATATCTGCGGCTCCTTTCCTCCCCTTATACCACAGCCCAAGCCTCGCAGATGTTTCTGGTGTTGTTCAGGTCTGTCCTACTCCCTGCACTGCATGGTTGCTCTCTGGCTTATTCCTCAGCCTGCACCCTCACCAGTGCCCTCTATCTCGTCTCAGAGCCCGTGCCCCTACTGGTGCCCTCTAGCCTGTCACACACTGCCCGTTCTGGAACTTCTCGCCCGTGCCAACTCCGGGCTCCTCGCTGCCCCCTAGCTCCAGGGCTGGGCCAACTCGCCTCCAAACAAAACTGCACCCTCTCCGGTGCCAGGAGACCCCACGCTATCGTGGAGCTCCTATGAGGCCTCCTCCACCCCAATAGCCTCTCCCGGTCCTCCAGTGAAACAGTAAACACAAA